AAATTGCATCCTATTGACCACTCTCAATAAAAATTGCCAATCTAATCGATCAAAAGCTTTTTCCGCATCCAGAAATATAAGCACCGCAGGGATTTGGTTATTCCTTTCCAAATGTTCCAATATGTCAACAATTTGTCTTACATTATTTTTCATTTGTCTACCTTGTATAAAACCAGTTTGGTCAGCATGAATCGTCTTCTGCATTACTAGCATTAACCTATTTGCCAATATCTTAGCAAATATTTTATAATCTGTATTCAATAAGGATATAGGTCTATAATTTTTGGGTTGTGTCAAATCTTGATCTTCTTTTGGAATTAACGAAATAAAAGCTGTTTTCCATGAAGGTGGTACCCCTTCACCCAGCTGAATTCTATTGAATAATTCTTTAAGAGGTAAAACCATCTCCAATTGTAAATATTTATAGTACACAGCTGTTAATCCATCCGTACCAGGAGCCTTACCAGTTTTTAACTGTTTAATTGTTGAGAGGATCTCCTCCTCTGTTATTAATTGGTTTAACCGTTCTCTTTGTTCCTCTGTAACTATTGGAATATTCTGTCTATCCAGAGTCTGAAAAAATTGATATAAGTAAAGGTACTAGACAGGGATGTCCATTATCTCCACTTTTATTTATTTTAACCCTAGAGTTATTATTGAATGAGGTCAGAAGAAATCAAGGAATTAGAGGGCTAAGAACCAGAGGGGAAGAGTTTAAGCTCCAAGCCTTTGCGGACGACTTGATATTTGTCTTGGAAGAACCTTTGGAATCGGGACCAATCTTGCTACAGGAGTTGGAGGCTTATGGGAAAGTAGCGGGATTTAAATTAAATAAAGATAAAACCAAGATCCTAATTAAAAATATGACGAAGAATCAAAAAGCGCAGTTAGAGGAAGAACTAGGGATCCAGATAGTCAAAAAACTAAAATACTTAGGAATTTGGCTTTCATCTAAATGCTCGACCATTAAAGAAGACAATTATCAAAAACTACTTAGTCAAACTAAAGAAATGTTGGAAGGATGGAAAAGTTTACAGTTATCATTATTAGGTAGAATTGCAGTAGTTAAGACGTATATCCTGCCTAAATGGATTTTTCTCTTTCAGACAGCCCCAGTTTTAGTAGATACAAATTTTTTTCATTCTTTAGATCAGTGTATACGTAGATTTGTATGGCAGAACAAAAAACCAAGGATTAAATTGAAAATGCTTCAAGAATCCCCTTCCAGGGGAGGATTTGGCCTACCTAAATGGGAGCTTTATCATCAGGCAGCTGTCTTAACTTGGATCAGAGACTGGATTGCCTTGAGGAGGAGGAGAATCCTTAGCTTGGAAGGCCACAATTTGCAACAGGGGTGGCACTATTATCTGAGTCAGGAAAGGCCCAAAAAACATAAATATTTTATGGACCACTTTATTCGAAAGGTTTTGATGACCATATGGGATCGAATAAGAAATAAATTTTACCTGATGACTCCGATTTGGCTTTCCCCTTTAGAGGCAATGACACACCCAACTCTTTACAACAGAAATAAACCATTAATTTACCAAGCTCTGTTGAATCCTTCAGGCAAAGTAAAATCTCGAAATATGCTGGTGGAATTAGGCTATGAGCTAGATTGGTGGTCATACAATCAGATCCAATCTAGGACAGCTCAGGATAAAAATAAAGGAGGAATCTATAATTCTCTACAGGAACTTGATAAGATCTTGTTGGGGAAGGATGAGAAGGTATTATCCAAACTGTATCAATTCCTCTTAATGGATTGGATTGGAGAGGAGATCATCAAGGACTCAATGATTGCCTGGGGGAGAAATTTGGGATACTCGATTGAACTTGAAAAATGGGAAGAAATCTGGGGGACAACCTTAAAATTAACAATGTCAGTTTCCTATAAGGAAAATATATACAAAATGCTGTATAGATGGCACCTGCCCCCGGCTAGATTATCGAAGATGTTCCCGGGGACCTCTCCGGTTTGCTGGAAATGCAACGCCGCTATGGGAACTTACTTTCATAGTTGGTGGACCTGTCCCCGAGCAAAAGAATATTGGGCTAGAATTCAAAAATGGATTTTAGAAATCATAGGATGTAGAATAGATTTGAACCCGGAAACGTTTTTACTAGGCATGAAACCAGAGAACTTAAACAAATCTAATTGGTATCTCGCTCTCCACATCATCATTGCAGCCAGGATCTCGTTCGCGCAAGAATGGAAATCAAAAATATCCCATCGGAGGCTACGTTAATTGCAAAGATCATGGACTGTGCAGAAGCAGACAAGCTTACTGGACTTTTGCGAGATAGACAAGAATCGGGGTTATATAGGAGCTGGGACAGATGGTATGCTTGGCTGCAGAAAAAGAAATCTTAAGAAGAATGAAAATATTAACCTTAATGTGAATGTGGGTAAATATTTCCAGGAGTATTGCATGACAATTGAGAATTTTTTTTTCTGGTTAAACTTTTCTTTCTTTTGATGAGTTAGCTTAATGGAAGTTTGTACTTTCTCCAGGAGAAAATTGATACTTTAAAACTCTATATGTATTATATTACTCTCTGCAATTCTATCCATATTATTATATTTTTTTCTGTATTTTTTAATAATTTTCAATAAAAAATTTAAAAAAAAAATCTTCCTTAAAAATGCACAGCACAAAATACCTAAGTATTCCCAATGTTAATTATTGTGCAGATAAACCTTTGTTTTTACTGTAACTTGGACTTTTTTTTGGTTGGTTATTGCTTCTTCTATGAAATTTATTCATATGGGCAAAGGCAAACAAAAGAAAAGTAAGATAGGCCAAGGCTTCAAGCCGAGGCACATAAAGTCACTAAAACTCCAGACACTCACACATTAGACACTGAGTTTCAATGTTGAACATGAAGACCTCCTATTAAACATCAGAAATCTCTATCCAAACAGAGCTAAGCAAAGAAGACAAAGAGGAAGTGTTCTGACCTAGGTTTCCTGAGTCAGTAAAACACACGAGTAGTCCCAAAAACCTGTTTTATTTTAACAGCTCTGAATTCTGTTCATTCACAGATGAGTCCCAAATAGTTGTAAAGAGTCCTTCAGGATAAGGCTGATAATCACCCATCTTTATCTCCCTTGACACGTTGCCAAAGACCTAATTGGCAAAGCCACATGGAGTCCAGAATCAAACAGAGCTTCAGACTTTAAACTGTACAGAATGAACAATGTTGCTTCCTGCAAAGGCCCCTGTGCCTTTGCTCCTCTTTTAAGTCCTATGGGAGGGGCCAATCATCTCCAAGCCCTACTCCCGAGTCGTCCCTTTTGTTTTAACTGTTCTTGCCTTCTGGCAGCTCTGCTCATGCGCGCACTGGAAACAGGTTCCCCCTATTCCTCTGCCTCACTGAGGTCCGACTCTGGAGGCTCCGGAGGCAGCACGTACTTCCTTCTCTGCCTCCGACGCAGAGCCCTCATCCAAGCCTTCCCCAGACTCCAGGACTGGCCCATGTTCCTCCCCAGCCTCCTCACTGTCCGACTCTGCTGCCAGCTCTGCAGGCTGCTGGCAGACACAACAGGAAGGGCAAGGGCAATGGTAGCATGTCATGCAAAGAACAAAAAAACTGAGAAGCCAGTTCCTACTTTCTTTGGAATTGAGCAATTGGTTTCATAGTGTTCTCCAGAAAGGAAATATGCAACGTGTAGTGTAGTGATAAGAACTAAAGAAGCTCAAATGTCCCCAAAGAAAAAATGGCACGTGTTGCTGATTGGTAATTCACTACTCAAAGGAACAGAGTCATCAATTTGTATACCTCACAATATCTTAAGGGAAATGAATTGTCTCCCAAGTGCAAAGATGTGATAGAGAGGCTTACTAAAATAATCAAGTTCACTGATTGCTATCCCTTTCTACATTTTCATGTCAGGATGAATCATACAACTAAGCCTGTATCAATTTCAAACAACTAGACAAAAAAGCAAAATATGTGGGTACCCAGATTGTGTTCTCATCTGTATTCAGGATGAAAGGTGAACAACCAACCAATGAGGGAATGGAACATTTTAGAAGTAAACCGCTGGCTCAAAGGATGGTGGCATCATAAGAACTTTGGATTTGTAAACCATGGATTACACTTTCTATATGAAGGGCTTCTAGCAAGAGATAGATTTCATGTCATGAAGACCAGCAAGAATGTGTTAGGGAAACAACTGGCTCCCTAACCAAAGGGCTTTAAACTAAAAGTGCAGGGGGAAGGAGACCTATTTATAGGACACAAAGCCCAACACAACAAATCAAATAACATGAAAGGAGTAGTAAAGAAAGGACACACAAGTACAATCAGGAGATATAGGAAGTTCAACCACGAGGGCTCAAATGCCTGTATACCAATGCTTATAATAAAGGGGACAAACAGGGAGAGCTTGAAGTCCTAGTACACAAAGGGAAATACAATAGTGTAGATATTGGTGAGGTGGAACCTATGATTGGAACACACAACTAGGATATAAATTGTTCAAATGAAACACACCTAACAAAAGAGGAGCTGGAATTGTATTACATGAAAGAAATCACTATACTTCTACAGAAATAAACAATAAAGCTAACCTCTGGATCCTTGTCCAACTTATCTTCTAATTTCTAACTTGAGGCTATTAGATGTTTTAGCAATACCATAACAAGTCCTCTGGAAGGAGGAAGAAAACAACAATGGTAATCACACCAGTAACCTCCAGGGCTGGCACCAGTAACCTGTTCTATCTGGGCCTGCCTTTGTGTTCCACCTCTAGAATTTGCATCTGTGTTACAGAATAAAGAATTAGGGTCAAAGCCCAGACCCTTTTTCTAATGAAACATTCAATGCATCCGAGACAACCATCTGTGCACACATGTAAGGAATATGCCAAAAGGAACAATCATCTGACTATTAATTATATTAACCTGCATCACTAACTTTTCAGGTGAGGCTTTGGGAAAATGTAGGATAAAAATTCTGGAAGTTCAGCATCATGAATAATAGAAAGTTCTTACTTTTAAAAACTGCATTAGGGCTGCGTTGCTTGGATCATTAGGATCAAGTTTTGTTTCAGTCACCCACTTGGCTAATTTCTTCATGTCAGTTAATCCAGATGTGCCAATTGATGCAATAGCATCCACTTTTTTTAAGGAACTGAAATTTTGACATAAGAGTGAAAACAACTGATTAAAAGAAATCTTCCTAATATTTTGGAAGAAAAAAAATGAAAGAACTTCTATGGTTAGTGTTCCTAGTAATGGATTGTCAATTTTGTATAAGCTCATTAATTTGCCTTTTCAAATAAAATTTACAAACAGCTTTACAATCACATCCCATCATTTCACAAGACTCACTACTGTTGAAGATATGTACTGTTTAATAAGCTCATGGTAAGTTAATAGAGAGAAAATAAATCTGAAATATTTTTATTCAATGAAATATCATTGGGCTTGAAATAATACACAATGCCAGTACAAAGTAGTTCAAGAGACAATGATGTTCAGCTGACACATGCATGCAAAAGAAGTTAAAATATAATTCAACCTCTGGCTAAAACAATGATCTCTAAGTATTATTCCAAAATGCAGTCTGACAGAGTATTGAATTGAACTCTGTTGAAGTTCACTACCTTGAAAGAGCAGAGTTCTTCTGTGAGATTGGAGGAACCAGTGGTATCCCATTTCCTCCAACTGCCCATGACACACTGCATGACACTTTACCAGAAGTCATTAAAATCATATTATTACTACCATCTGCTTCAAATGAAAATGGAACCCCTGCAAGAAGAGATAAAAAAGACAGGTCCTGCTCAGTTCTGACAAATCAACCAAGGTTTGTGTTCTTTTGAACCAATAAAAAGATATGGTTTGCATAGTCTTTAATGCTCTTGTATTTTTCCGTAGTGGAAGGGAGGGAGGGAGGGAGGGAGGGAGGAAGGAAACCAGTTTTCAGCAAGTTATGGAGATCTATCAAAGGTGGTTGTGAGGCTGAACACCTCAAGTTACCTACGAGATGACAGTTACATCTATGGACATACTATATAAGTATTTATATACTATATAAGTATATAAAGTCACAAATTGTCAACTATGTTAGCTGGTTTGCAATCCTCTGAACATGAACAAATAAGAAATGGAACAATCTCTGTACCACTGCCCACTCCTTCATGGTCCAGTGTTACACACTGGTCACTGCTGAATTCAATTTCTTCTATTGGAGCTCTTCCTGTCAGAATAGTCGTCTCCGGGATGGGCACAAATACTTCCATTAACAAGTTAGCACTGCTGAGTCCAATTGTTTCATATACCTGTAATAAAGGGAAGAAAGTATTCCAAGCCCTAATCACTTTGAGTGTTTGGTAATTATATTTAATTTACACCCTTTTTTCAAATATGTTCTCATGGCCATAAATAAGTACATGCATTTCAAAGGACCAGAGAAGCTTGGTATAAGTTAGAATTGCTTGTCTCTCGTGTATCATAATATCAGGGCTACACTGTAAATATATGCTCTAGCTTGGGATATACTAGAATGGTATTTGGATGGGCTCCCCTTCCCTGACAAGTGAAAGCAGAGAAGGTGATTCTCATTTGAAAATCCAGCTCTTGAGGAGCAAAAGCCACTAGATCATGGACTCCAAAATCAGCAACTATGGAGGAAACCCCAGCAGTTCAAAGGAATGATATTAAATTAATAGAAAATTATTAACATTTATGCTTTACAAGCTCTTTACCATTGCATATACATAACTAGTTGGGGTGAAAGTTTTGAAGAATTTTGTTTGAAGCAGATGGTGGTTCAAACTGCCATCGAAGCAGTGTAGAATAAAAATTGAGCATGTCATCTATATCCCATACAAGAAAGTGAGAGTAGCTTTGTCCATGAACAGAATTTCATTATGAAAAGAACCTTCTATCATTCAAATCCATGGACAAAATAAATTACTTAAGTTCCTCTATGGAACTACATCTAAATGACTGAAGTTAGAATTTCTTCAGAATTCTTGCCATAGATAAGAGCATTTATGTTCTACTGTTTCTCTATATGTTTAACACAATAACTTACCTGCAATTTTAAACTCTCTGGCCAATTGAATATTTGCACATTAAAAATCTGCCCAAAATGAATTCTAAAGTCTGAGCTCATCTGCCGAGAAATTGTTCTAGACACCTCTTTGGAATTGAAAAGAACTTTTAAGAAGATAGACCTTTTCTTCACATCTTCACGTCTTGCAACTTCAGTTCTACAAACAGGTTAACAACAAGTAAATAAAACATGTACATTTGCTTGAATAATAATAAAGAATAGAAGAGAAAGAATTAAGATAACAAAATAGAAATATAATTATTGTGGCAAAAGAAAGCAAAAGTAGAACCAATCGTAACAGGTGGCTTGAGTGTAATTGCATGATAATCTTCACTCTATGCAGTGTGTGCAATCCCTTTTTCACAGCTCTAAAATGTCCCAATTATCTAACAATAGAAAAGAACATACAAACCTAAAATCAAAAATATATATCTTAACTTGTTGGATTGAGCAGCGGATTTAGGAGTTTATAACTTGCTTCTCTCTTATGCTCAAAATGTGCAGTTGTGCGATTTATTTTTCCCTCTGCTCAAGGGCTAAATATTATCCAATCTGGATCCACGCATTAAAAAATACAATAAAAAGTATGTCTGACACAATATGCAGAAAGCACAGGTCCATACAATGAAAAACAGCATCCATTGTCCATAACTAAGAATTGGACAAGCCATGGGAATAGGATAATTAACCTTCATCTACAAATGCAGAGGAGAGGAGATTTCTAGAGAGGAGGAAAAAACCTCTTGAGCTGCCAATATCCCATTGTGCTTTGGAGGAAACCCCCCCCCCCATACACACACAATCATAAAAGTTCTAAAGCACAGGCTCTTATCCCAAAATAAAATTACACATCAATACCTTAGGCCCACATTCTGCCATCTTGAAAAGTAGAGGCTGGCTGCAGAATAACTGCCAAAGACATGGCCAGAAAGACCACAATGTTGCTTCTTTGGAAGAGAAAAAGGCTGAACTTGCTTTTTTGTTTTGTTTTCTTTTGCAATGAGGAAACTTTCAATTAAAAAATAGGAAAAACCACAATGCTGACTCTGCTGAATGCTGGGGACATTATTTTCAAATGTTCTTTGGCCCACAACTGTGGGATTGAAAACAGACTGGCCCCTTGCCTGGCATGAATGAACAGTCTTTACTTTCAAACATCTAGCATTCTGAAAATAAACATCTTAGGAACTGATTTGGAGAGTCAGCAACATTTTCAAAACTTAGTTTTCTACTGACTTTTCAAAGACTTTTCATTTCCAGTTTATATGAAATGAGAAGGAGCAAATATTTAAATGTTTTAATTATTATCAACAGAATCTTCAGATATTAAAATACACTGGCAGATAAACCAATGTTAAGAACGTGCATCTCATTTAGAAATTATTGTGTTTCTCCAACATGACTTAAAAGAGGCAGTTGTAAGACCATAACTGGAAAAAAAATTCATCTGGGTCTGGGAGCTTTGTAATTACAGGCCGATCTCAAATCTTCCATTTTTGAATAAGAATAAATAATTGAGAAAATGATGGATCCATACCTCTTGATGCACTTGAATGAAATTAATTATTTGGACTTTTTCAATCAAGCATGCTTTGGTTGCTTTGGGGAACTTTGGGAAAATTAGATGGGAGATGTGATCCTGTGAAATCTTTCTGGGATTGGTTAGGCCCTGCCCATCTCACTACCTAAGTGATTCTAGGCAGTTAGAAATAAAATGTCATAAAATTATATAAAAGAATGTAGTGCTGAGGAGACTGTGGCTTGACACTTAGGTAGCTGACTACTGATTTCCTATTAGGGATTATTTAGGGTGCTGAGTTGATCTTCAAAACCTTAAAAGACCCTGGTGTATACTATGAACCTGCCCAGGGACTTTGATCAGTGGAAACCCTCCTGAAGATGCCCAGATGCCTTAAAGGACAGATATGTCTCCCAGAATTGAAGAAAATGCCCAGAAAAGAATTGTGGCAAAGCTCGGAACTGCTTTTAATTGTGATTAGATTCTAGTGATACTTTGATTTTATGCTAATATGGCTCACCTAGGACAAGCCTCATTTGGAGTGATGCTCCCCACCAAGCTTAATTCAGGGATTAGAACTGGTTCTCCAGGCTGCCTTCTGTTCTCAGCAGCTCTTCTGCGAACTTGCAGCTCCACCTGCTGTTGGTCAACTGGGGGAGGTGGAAGAGGCTTCAGAGTTTCCTCCATTTGCTCAGATTCTTCATCTTCCAAGTGTTGACTTGATTTCTTTTTTTGTTTCTTTTGATTTTTCTATATGGGTGAAAAGATGTATTTGTTTTTGGTGGATCTCTCATGCATGGATTTTGCTGAACTGACCATTTTTTTCTCTAATTTGATAAATGAATGTGATAAATAATTCAACTGGTGGCTGGATGTTACAAATTTTTACTACAGTTATTCTATTATTAGAAGTTTACCTGTTTTTTTTTAAATCTTGGAATTTAGAGAAATTCTTACAAATAAAGGCTTTAACAGGACTTTATCCTTAAAAATGGCTTAATGTCGATGGAGATTCTCAATCATCCAGATCATGGTTGTCCCAAAGGTGTTTTTTTTCCCCAAAAGGTAACTGGACTTTCTTGGGTTTTTCTTTGAAAATGTTTCACTTCTCATCAAGAAGAAGAGATCTGAAGAAGCTTCATAGATGATAAGCAGAACATTTTTGAAGTAAAAAACAAGAAAGTCCAGTTGCCTTTTGAAAAGGTACCTTTGGATTAAAAGTGGCTTTGATGTAGACCATTATTGTTTTTTATATATATATTCTGCTTTTCTTTCAGGAGCTGAAGAAAAATATACAAAGCACTCTTATTTTTTAGATGTCTACAATTCTCTTAGAGAGACTGGGCTGATAGAAAGACAGACTGAGCTTATGTGAGTGAGTGGGGGATTGAATCTAGTATTGAAACACACTGCCACTAGCATTTGACAATCATGGTAAATGATCATAGAAACTACCCTCCTAGCAGGGGTGAAATGCTCCCAGTTCGGACTGGCTCGGGCAAGTAGGTAGCAATGGTGGCGGGCAGTTCGGAGAACCGGTAGCAAAAATTCCTCCCCCACCCCCCCAGCCTCCAGCTTGCTTACCTTCGCTCTTCGGACTGAATCCTGAGCTGCTGGTTGCAACACCTGCCTTGCTTCGCTTGCTGTGATCCCTGCAATCCATTGCATCAGCAAGCAACTGAATCTCCCTGCCTCCAATCAAGCTCATTGGTGAGCAGCTCTATCTGCCTGCCTGCCTTGTCCCTTCAATTGGGTAAGTTTTTTTCCCCTTTGGGAGCTTTAAAAAAATAGTTAATTGGGGTTTTATTAGTTGTCCTTTTTTTGGACCTAGCCATTTAAAGTTTAGGAAGTTTTAAATTTAGCTGCTTTTATATAAAAATAAAAATAAAATAAAATAAAATTTGTGCAGCTTTCTGAGATTTTGTGTGTTTCTGTAGTGTTTCATTCTAACTACACAAACACACAAAATCTCACAAAGATGTATGTGGAATTTTGTGTGTGTAAAGTGTGAAAGTTGGGTTTTTTGGACTTTTTGGGGCTGTGTGAGGTTCCTGTTTGTTGCAGGGGCCATTTTGGGTCTAGCACAGCTGCTTTTACATTGTGGGTGAGCCAATTGTGTTGTGTGTGTGTAAAGTGTGAAAGTTGGTTTTTTGGACTTTTTGGGGCTATGTGAAGTTCCTGCTTGTTGCAGGAGCCATTCTGGGTCTAGCACAGCTGCTTTTACATTGTGGGTGAGCCAATTGTGTTGTGTGTGTGTGTAAAGTGTGAAAGTTGGTTTTTTGGACTTTTTGGGGCTGTGTGAGGTTCCTGCTTGTTGCAGGGGCCATTTTGGGTCTAACACAGCTGCTTTTACATTGTGGGTGAGCCAGATGTGTTGTGTCATGTTTTGTAGGTTAAAAAGGGGCAAAGAAGTGACGTCAACTTGGCCACGCCCACCTGACCAATAAGCCACGCCCACCCAGTCACCTGACCACCAAGTCATGCCCACTAATTAAGCCACGCCCACAGAACTGGTAGCGAAATTTTTAGATTTCACCACTGCCTCCTAGTGTTGATTAGTTTCATATGGAAAGGATTGTAAGTAGATTTGACTGTTGCCTATATTAACATTGTGACAGTCTGAAAGGACAGAATGCAAAAAATAATTCTTTCTAATATATGTCATAGCTAGTCATCCAGGACACCACTGCCTATACTGGCCATCTCTTGACCAGCCTTTCTCAACTACAGCGTCATTAAGTTGTGTGGACTTCAAAACAACTTAATGTCAGCACTTCAAGTTGCATTTACTCTAGTACTCTAGTAGTTCCTGGGTGAAGAGCGCAAACATCCAAGCTGACCGCCTTATAGCAAAATTCCATGCAGACCACCCGGGAAAGCCGGGAGGGGGGGTGCGCAGCCAAGGAGGGGCTAATGATACTTATCTTGTTGTGTTTTTCCCTATGGGATAGGTTACATCGCAGAAGTGAAGGGAGAGGGGCCGGATGTCAGCGTTCCAAATTAGGCTCTCTTCCAGCACTGACATGAACGAAATGAAGCAGAGAGCAGAAGCGTTGATTTATTGCTGACATGAACTTTTACCTAGTTTTCTGAAGGCAACAGATAGTGTTACCTGGGTGATGGAGGGTGGGGGGCACATTCCTGTGAAAAGAACGTGCCGGGACGTAGAGATGGATCTGCCTGATGACCAATGGGACATTGGGGTTGGAGAGCGGAAGAGGAGGGAGTTGGAAGGAGGGGCCAGTTTGGCTGCAACTTGAATCAGGAATGTCGGATTTTTTTCTATTCTTAAATAAAAGTGATTCATTAGAGACTTTGCGCTTGAGAATGAAGTTTATTTAAGATAGCACCGAAGCCTGACAGCAGTGAGCATAGAACAGGTGTATCCGTTATCTTTAATGAAGGACCTACTCGCTGCCTTAGCGACTGGTAAATATTTTACGAAATTAGACTTGCGGGAGGCTTATTATAGGGTACGTGTAAAACAAGGAGATGAGTGGAAAATTCAACTGCCCGTTGGGTAGTTATAAATTCTGTGTTATGCCCTTTGGATTACAAGGCGCTCCCACGGTCTTTATGCAACTAATCAATGAGGTGCTACACGATTATTTATACCAAGGGGTATTGGTGTATTTAGACAATATTTTAATATACACCAAATCTATGGAGGAACATGTCGTGTTACACCGTCAGGTGTTGGAACGATTGTTACAAGCCCATCTGTACGTTAAGGTATCCAAGTGTGAATTCCATCGCACAGAACTAGACTATCTCGGATATAGAATATCTAAGGATGGCATAGCTATGGATCCTACAAAGGTAAAAACGGTGTTAGAGTGGGTGACCCCGACAACTAGGAGGCAATTACAAAGCTTCCTTGGTTTCGCCAACTTTTATCATCAGTTCATCCCAACATTCGCGCAAATCGCTCTGCCATTAACAAACTTACTACAGACAAAAGGGGAGGGGCCTCAGCGACCGGGCCGTCAATTAGATTGGACGATGGAGTGCCAAACGGCGTTTGAAACCCGGAAGCGCCATTTCGCAGAGGCACTCATATTACAGCATCCTGACCAAGCGAAACCATTTATAGTACAAATGGACGCCAGCAATGTTGCAGTAGGGGCCGTATTATTGCAAACCGATGTCCAAGATCAGTTACACCCTTGTGCATACACCTCCAAAAAGTTGAGTTCCACGGAAAGGGGCTGGGCTATCTGGGAAAAGGAGGCGTTTGCTGTCCGTTGGGCTCTTCTCACCTGGAGACATCTCTTGGAAGGAGCACAGGTACCGTTTGAGGTGTGGACGGATCACCGCAACCTTATAGCATTGCAAACACCTAGATGACTGTCCCCCAAACAAGTCCGGTGGGCTCATTGTTTTCAGCAGTTCCGGTTTACATTAAAACATGTGCCTGGAGGCAAGAACTTCTTGGCCGATGCTCTGGCTCGAATGCCCCAATTCCAAAGCAAAAGGGACGAGGTAGTGCAAGCTATGATACCCAGCGGGGATAGGGGGACTGTAGCAGCTGTAACAACGGAGCCTCCGACAGAGTGGAAAGGGATGATACAAAGAGAGCTAAACACTGATAAGTGGTTTGTGGAAAACAAACATCTGCTCACGCACAGAGATGGGGTCTCATGGAAGGGGGACAGGATATATGTGCCTGAGGGGATTCGGGGCTTGGTATTACACCGATGCCATGACAATAAAATGGCTGGGCATTATGGTTTCCTTAAAACACTACACTTAACAAGGCGTCAGTTTTGGTGGCCCCATATGAGGAAAGATATAGAGATATATACACAGAACTGCTCGGTGTGTGCCAAAGCCAAGTCCCGTCCTGGAAAACCATTGGGGTTATTACAGACTGTAGCCACACCTACCCAACCGTGGGTGGAGATAGGGATGGATTTTATAGTTGAACTACCAGACAGCAATGGGAACATGGTTATATGGACTATTATCTATTTGTTCTCTAAACAAGCTCATTTCATTCCTTGCCAAGGGTTACCATCAGCTCGTAAATTATCTAAGTTGTTCATACATCACATATACCGGCTACATGGGGTGCCACATCGTATCATTTCCGATAGAGGGGTGCAGTTTATGCTCGCTTTTGGAGAAACTTCCTTTCGGCTATTGGGTCAACACAAGGGCTTAGTTCGGCATTCCACCCCAGTACCAATAGGTCTGCAGAGAGAGCAAATGCAATAGTAGAGCAATACCTCCATTGCTACGTTTCATATCAACAGACCGACTGGTTGTCGCTATTGCCCTTTGTAGAGGTCGCCTATAACAACACGGTTCATAGCAGTACGGGTCTTACCCCTTTCCGGGTAGCAATGGGACGAGACTTCGTAGCTATACCTGAATTGGGTCAATCATCAACAGCTACCACGATGCCTCAAGAGTGGTCCGACAAAATAAAGACAGTCTGGCCCCAGGTCAGGGAAGCATTGGATAAAGCTCTTCTCACATACAAAACCCAGGCAGATAAAAAACGTGCACCTTTCCAACCTTTCAAAGTGGGGGACATGGTATATCTCTCCACCAAGTACATCAAACTACGACTACCTAGCAGGAAACAAGGACCAAAATATCTAGGCCCGTTCCCAGTGGTGAGGACAATAAATCCAATAACTGTGGCCTTAAAGTTACCTCCGTTACTGGAGAAAATCCACCCCGTGTTTCATAGTAGTCTTCTCAAACCTGCCACACATACCCAAGCATTGAGCGTCCTGGTCCAG